CCTACAGAACATCACTGGCCTACAGAACATCACTGACCTACAAAACCTCACTGACCTACAGAACATCACTGGCCTACAGAACATCACTGACCTACACAAGGCAAAGTCAGTGGACAAGGCCAGGCTGATTCTGGCAGATCCTGATCATCCACTCCATGGTGAGTTCAGGTTCCATCTGGACGCAGGTATCTGCTGCCCAGATGTAGAACAGACTGAAAAACTCATTCATTCCTGTAGAGATCAGGCTTCTCAACAAACAATCATGATGATTTCTGTTCCGTTACTTTAACGTCTCGTCTAGTATGGATCTTTTGTGACTGTGAAACTAATTGCCCATTGGGGATAATAAAGATTCTTGAACTTGAAGCACTCAAAGTGGTTCGTATAGTTACAGCTGTAAACCTAAAAATATAAAATCAGCTCAAGATAACATCTGCTTTAACATTTTAAATATATTTTACAGGGTTTGAGTGACATCGTCAGGCTAAGTTAGGTCATGTCCTTCAGCGTAAAGTATTTCATGCTATTTCTGCCATGCCTACAGTGTTTATGATGGGGGATGTAAAGGTCATGGATGTTTTTCACTTACTAATGTCAGATGTTATAGAACCTATGTTCTGTGTTTGTTAAGAGTTGTTTTGTCTTTTCAAAGGGGAGCCTGCAGAAGCATGGAGACATTCACCTGATAAACTCAAAGCCCTAAGCTGGAAAGCAGAGTTGTCTTCACCTCACCTTTGTGCCATTATAAAAAGACACTTCTTTATACTGCCTGTGGGCAGACCTAATGATCTGGGCATGATGCAACAGCCTGTATGCTGGTTTTCAACGGCTGTTCCACCTTGTAAGATTCAACCTGGGCAAAAAAGATCTTCTCCTGTCCTGCGTGGCTTATTTATTTAATGAGATGATGATGGGATAATTAAATTATCCAGCATTTTAGTCAACAAACAAAAAAACAACTGATGTTCGGTGCTTTACCTGTCGGTTGTGAAGATGTTCTGTCGGGGTTATGTTAGTCATGTCCATTGAGGATAAAATGGACCCAATTTTTGTGACGTTCTTCTCCATCGTCTTCAAGTCCGCCTCAACGTCCTCCACCAGCTGAAAGCAACACCAGCAACCTCCTCAGAAAATTACACCTCATCGTTAAAATTAAACATTTGCATTTTGGTACATAACAAATCACTTGTTGGGGGGGGGGGGGGGGGATTTTTGTTTAATATAATTTGAGGTCACGTCACATGAGCGACATACAAACTTTAAAAAAGGTAGGAGTCATGTTTTTGACATTCTTACGGCAGCAGCCTGCAGGAGGTGGTCCAGCGGCTCAATGATGCTGCTCTGCATTTTGTGCACTTCCTGGTAGCTCTGGTCCAGCCTCTCCTCCTGGGTGCTGATGTCGCACACGGTGGAGATCTCAGCCAACACTGACCTGAAGTCCTGCAGGGTGCGTCTGATCCCCTCAGAGTCATCCTGGATCAACTGTGGATCAGAAATTCAAGTCAGAACATCTATAACCACTGTTTAAGATCCGAAGGTTGTGTTTTACAATGTCAAGGTGTGAACACAAAGAGGAGTAATGGAAAAATCAAATAATTACAAATATTGTAATTAAATAAAGGCTTTTAAACTAAGACTTCTGATAAAGTTATAGCCATTTTGGCAACATTCTCCACAGCCTCATACAATATCATGTTTTTAATTACTCACTTGTACATGAGAAATTTTGCTAATGCTACAAAAACACACTCGGGCACAGGCAAATCAATATTACCCTCCGCTAAAGGCAATAAAAAAGAATCTAACATAAATAGACACGAGTTAAAATTTTTTTAACAAAGGTCATCAGAGATGTTTTGGCTCTTGTTGTCTCACCTTCAAATATTTTGCTCGTTTGTAGAGACTTTTAGCTGCTGTGAATGAGCAGGGAGAGCTGAGCCAAGTCTGGGCTTCAGTTAACCAGCAGGCAGCTCTGTGAAAAATGTCTTCAAACTCCTGCAGACAGGCCGGGATCTAAAAACAGAGAAAGTATCATCAGCGTCAAGTTTTACGCCCTGCTGCAACGCAAATGTTAGATGAAGTCAAACGTAAGAGTCTGACTTTGCTGAGGAAGACGGTGCGCTGCTCGGCCATCTGCGCTGCGTTCTGGTAGAGCTGCAGCGGCTCTGTGAGCTGGTCCATGAGCACCTGGGCTTTATCTGGATGGTCCTCTGCAAGATCCTGCACTTCACTTTCCAGAAGCATCAATCTACTGCGCCAGGAATCCAGCTCATCCCACACTCGCTGTAGAGAAATCCACACAAGGCTCGTCACACAAAACGCCACGTCTGGCGTAAAACGTAGGGCCGAGGGCACAGTTAGCATGACAAGCTAGTTGTGTGAATGTTTAGGAAGCGTTTACTTTCGTGATCCATTTTTCTTCTGTGCGTTTTTCAGCTTCTTTCTCGTTCCACAATTTTTGTGCCGTTTCAACAAAAACATGTCTCAAAACGTTCGGCTCGTTCAGGACAATCCTGCTTTGACTTTTGGTATTGGTGCAACTTTAGCTTGTTGAAATATTTAACCTTTTCTGCCATTTTAAAACTGAGCTCATTTTACATCCTTCAAATCTTTAGATCTGTTTACAACCTTTTACTGCTCCTTTCATATTTTGTTCAGCTTCTTAGCTTCCTTAAACATTTTCAGCTACTTTCAGCTGTTTACTTCAGCTGTTTTGTTCTCCTTTCGTATTCTTTCTGTTAACTACAACATTTTTGCGCTTCTTCTAACTTATTTCTGCTAATTTCAGCTTATTATGCTCCTTTCAGATTATGTCTTTATATTTCAGTTTTTTTTCTGCTATTTAGCAGTTTTATGCTCATTTTAGCTTTTTCAGCTAATTCCACTTTTTTTTTTGCACTCATTTCAACTTTTTTCAGCCTAATTCAGCAAAAAAGTGCTCTCTCCACTTCCTTCTGGTAATTTAAGCTTCTTTCTGCCTTTTTAGCTACTTTTCAGATGTTAACAGTAATTTCCACTTTGTTTAGTGCTCATTTCTGCTTCTTTCAGCCTAATTGGACAAATGTGTTCTTTCTGCTTTATTCAGCTAATTTAAGCTTATTCTACCTTTTCAGCTATGTTTTAACATTTTTAGCTCATTTCAGCTGTTTTCAGTTAATTCAAGTTTTTGTGGTAATTTCTGCTACTTTCAGCCTAATTAACTTCTTTCTGCTAATTTCAGCTTGAGCTTTTTTCAGATTACTTTGGCTAGTTTCAGCTTTTTCTGCTAGTTCAGCAACTTTTTAGCCATTTTCTGAAATGTAAATTTGTTTTGCACCTCCCGGCCACCGTAGTTTTGTGCTAAATTTAGCTTTTTCAGCTAATTCCCTTTTTTTTGTGCTAATTTCGGTTCTTTCCACTTCCTTCTGGTAGTTTGAGCTTCTTTCTGCCTTTTCAGCTACATTTCAGCTATTGTTTAGCTAATTTCTTATTTTTTTGTGCTAATTTCTGCTTGTTTAAACCTAACTCAGCAAATACATGTGTTTTTTCTGCTTTCTTCTGCTAACTTGGGCTTGCTCTCCCATTTCAGCTACGTTTCAGCATGTTTTAGATAATTTTAGCTGTTTTTCAGCAAGTTCTCCAGCATTCACATTGCATTTTCGCAGGAAATGCGATTTCTCTAATTTTAACCTAAAGTCAGATAAGACGAGTGTTTACATCAAAGGTAAAAATGTTAAAGTAAAACAAAGACATAAAATGTGACATAAGTCCAGATGTTTTACAAAGGCACATGAACAAACAGAACCTTGAGGACAGCTTGAGCTTCGCCGAGTGTTGAACTTCTCTGCTCCAGTAAAGTTTTCACTCTCTCCAGGCCAGAACCGAGACCTTTCACTCTACCAGCCAGTTTCCTAACTGGGTTGTTCCTCTCCAAGAGCTGCAGGAAGAAAGACATAAACATCTGTCACAGCAAGATTTTGTAGTGTTAATGTTCCAACGAGCGAACGAGGATTCAGCGGCTTATCTTCACCATTTCTTCTGCTTTCTGTAGAGACTGTTTAACTTCGTCAATCTGCCTTCCACAGTCAGCAGGAACTGCAGCGTATCGGCTCTGTAAGCTGCCTGTGATCGACTTCAGCTTGTTCTTCAGGGAGTACAAACGTTGTTGGAGCTCCTTTCAGGGAAGAAACACAAAAAAACAGAAATGAGAAAACTGACAGAAACTACGAATCAGGGTCACAAATTCAGCTCTGATACTTAGAAAATACGATCAATCAATTGGGTCAAATTTATAAAACACCAATAAAATAAAGGTGGAATCCCATGTAAAATGTATAACAGAATGCATTGATTTATAAAGCTTATGAACACATTTTTTTAAATCACAACTGAACATGCTGAAACAAACTGTACCAGATTCTGAAAAGCAAAACAATAAACGATTAAAATGAACAAAGGCAAATATGAATGTTATGGCAGTAAAACATCTAATGATGACAACACAAGCTAAGTGATCAGACTAAGAAAAGGCTGAAGGAATATTTTGCAACAAATTACATGAAGTTCTGTGATCAGATTAATTAAAAAATGAAATTGTTTTAGAAAAACCACGAATGCCACATCTTCCATATAAAAAAGCGAAAGCGAACACCCAGCCCGTTATCACAATAGTTCAAAAGCTGGCCTCGCTGATGGTATGGGGGTGACTTGGTACCTCTGGGATCATCAGCTTACTGGGAATGCACCTTTAATACAGAAAGTTATACAGTAGTCCCTCGTTTATCGCGGGGATCTGTACCCTGAAGCCCCGCAATAAGTGAAAAACCACCAAGTAGGAATAGTAGTACAAGTAGTACGTTATGGTTTATTTTAGTATTTAAATATATTTAAATATATCTATTTCAAGTTGCTGCCATAAATTCAACATTACGCTTTTTTTCCCTCCAAAACATTAACATTTTATAGTTTATTTTACCAGTTTCTACTGTAAATAAAATAAAAGTTGATCAGATTTGCAAATCACTTGACTATTTTTTACATTTTACGCAACGTTCCAAGTGGGGTTTTATTTTCCTGGTAAACGTTAAAGTTTTATTTCAAGAATAAAAAGTATGTGAAATATCCTCTACAAGCAGATTTGATTTTTATGGAACGAGTGTTGAATTTTCTCATTGATGAATGATATCGAACAGGAAATGCAAAATAAATAAATAAAAATCATGCCGATTATGGGGCGGCACGGTGGCACAGTTGGTATATGCACGTGCTGCCTCTCAGCGAACAGGTCGCCCTGGTTCAAATCCCGGCCGGGGGCCTTTCTGGGTGGAGTTTGCATGTTCTCTCCGTGCATATGTGGGTTTTCTCCGGTTACTCCGGTTTCCTCCCACAGACCAAAAACATGCATGTTCGGCTGATTGGTAACTCTAAATTGTCTCTAGGTGAGAGAATGAATGGTTGTTTGTCTTGTTTGTCTCTATGTGTCCCTGTGATGGACTGGAGACCTGTCCAGGGTGTCCCGCACCAGTGACCCGAAATGGAAGAAGTAAAGATGATGGATGGATGGAGATAATGTTTCACGTATCCAATGATACAGTTTTAATATCTCTCCCCAACTAAATCTGCTTTAACTGCTGACAGTTTCTAAGCTTGTGAGGTATTAAAACATAAAAAAGAGCTGACCTGTTCTTTGTTTGGATCGGAACACACTTCCAGCTCTGGTAAAACACCAAACAGGTGCTTCTCCACATCTTCTATGTCTTCCTGGATTTGCTCATGTTCCCTCTCCTCTGTCTGGGCTGCAGCCAAAAGCAGCAGGTTTCGCTCTTTCAAGCTGACGTGAACAAAAAAAAAAAAACAACTTTTAAACATCTTTCATTAAAACAAAGTACTTATTTTGCGCAGATATAAAACAAATAACCCTACCTCCTCACGCTCTCCTGGAGCTTCACTAACGTTTTACCAATGGGTCCGGGGCTGACGGGTTTGTGGGGAGCTGGCGAGTTCAGGATGCGTTCCAACCGATGCTGCAGGGACAACAAGGCCTGCTGGTCCTGCTCCAGACCTGATCGCTGCAGCTCAGCCCGAGAAAGAAGCTCCCGGGGCTCCTCTTGAGAGACACTGGCGGAGTCTGAAACCTCAGCCTGAAGACTAGCCACGCGGCTGCAACACTGTTCCAACTAAAGAAATAAGATTTAATCAACATTATTCAGATTGTACCAGATTTTTCAAACCATAAGTTGCACTTAAAACCTTTAATTGTCTCAAAAATCAACAGCGAGCCTTATAATCAGGTGCACCTTATGTTTTAATTCTGGTTGTGCTTACTGACCTCGAACAGATTATATGTGGTTATTGTGAATGAGTTGAATAAAGTTTGACTTATCTGACTGGTTTGTTTCGCTTAACGCGCCTTATAATCCCCGGTGCACCTTATGTATGAAAACAGACCCGTTCATTGATGTTGCGCCTTATAGTCAGAAAAATATGGTACTGCAGCAGGTGCGCAATTTAAGTCTTAAAATGCTGCAGAAATCTGGCGATTTGGCTTACATCTGAGAAAACAAATGAAATGTGTGACCTTTTTTATAATATTAGCTTGTCTGCGTTCCATTCGAACCAAAAGGATTAATGGATGGTAGCACTCACACTCGTAGTGATGTCCTTCCATTCCTCGCCCTTCTGCTCTGTGTGCATCATCAGGAGGCCCGCGGCTCGTCGTAACGATGCCCAGCGCCTCCAGAGGGCGCACAGCTCACCATCCCTTCGAAACCTGCAACCCTGCACTGGGCATCCAACCCCCAGGTCTTCTATCTGCCTCATGAACCCGTGAAGATCTTCCATCAAAAGCTTTAAAAAGAAATGAAAGTCAAGTTAAACCTAAATCCAGCACCACTTATTTACAAAGACTGTTTTACAGTTACGTGTCGATTAGGTAAGGAATACGATACTGGTTAAAATGCTAAATGTTATCACTACAAGCCAGGGGTGCCCAATACGGCTATCGCGATCTACCGGTAGTTCACAAAGGTAATATCAGAAGCTCCACAGCGAAAAAGAGATTAGACCTTTTTTTTAATTTGTGTTTTTTAAATAGGCGTCAGCTGATCAGTCCATCTTCACTAGCCTCCAGTTTATATCTAAACTCAAGAAAGTGTGTAAAATGAGTTGGGGAGTTGGACCAAGTAAGCAAAAAGTTACCATTTTCATACAGAACGGGGGAGGAGGACTTTTTTTTTTTCAATGTCTTATTCTAGATTTGCGCCGCTCCAGGTGGCTGCATGTTGGAGCAGCTCTGTTACTTTCATTCTGAGATTTTGCTTTTGGAAACTTTAATTCCTCTTTTTCTGGATATAAATCACATTTTTTGGATGATTGTTTCCTCTGGTATCGGACGCTGTGCAGCCGGAAGGATTTTTACAGAGATTTTTTTGGTTTTGGACATTTGTTATGATGCGTAACCATGGCAACAAGGCAGTTTTCTACAACCAACAGCAGCTGATTAACATCTAAAAAGCTCAAATAATATCTCAACTATGGCCCCAACTCTCAAATGAGTTGAAAAGGATGTTCTGTGGACGCATTCTCATCTACCTGCCAGCTGCGCTCGAGTGCCTGACCACTGAGATCCTGGAACTAACAGGAAACACGGCTCATGACAGTGGAAAGACAGGATCGTCCCTCAGCACCTACAGTTGGCTATCTGCAGTGACGAGGAGCTTGGCAGACTGCTGGGAGGAGTAGCCATCGCTCTGGGAGGAGTTCTGCCCAGCATTCGGGCGGTCCTACAGTCCAGGGGAACCGAGAGGCCTGCTGAGTCTGGGTGGACGGATCGGACAGCATCTGCAGCCAGTTTCTTAGGATCCACTGAGGGATGGACCTTTACAAAAGCCATCAGCATCTATAACATCTCTTAATGAAATGAGGATAACGAGTTCCAACAACAAAATAATTTCCCTCTGGGATTAATAAAGTATTTTTGAATTGAATTGAATTGAATTGAATTGAATATTCAAAGTGCGTTTCACCGGAGTAGCATTTTCGAACTATTCATAAAAACTACGGCGCCGACTTCCTTCTAAAAAGCGAGCCGAGAAAGAAAACGGTGAGAGAATTCAAAAAGCGTTCGACACAAACGGTGACAGAACTGAAATCCCAGTTCTCTGGACAGCGGTCACTTTTCTTACAGCTGACCAGCAGCGAAGCGTCACTCCAGGTGAGTCACTTTAATCATTGTTCAGCACAAGAAGTCTTTTCAAGACAGAGAGATGGTAAAAGAGGCATTCGTTGAAGCAGCTGACGTTGTTCAGAGACTTTTAAAAAATATATTATCTTCCATCAAAGCTCTCGGGTATCAAGAAATACGGTTACAGTTAAAAGCAGCTGCTGTCAGGGATGAACTTTCACCTCTCAGGTTATTTTTCAAACATTAAGTTATTCCTGTTGTTTTCTGTTCCTTTGTGTGAAGAACAGAAGTTACTGCTGGGTTTTGTTTATTATTTTGTGCGCGGACAGTAAAAATAAATTGCCACTTTTTTTTTTTTTTTTAAACATACTTTTGGGTTTTGTAATTTACGTTGCGTCCACAGCGAGCTGGGATGTATTCATTCATTCAAACTTTACTTATCCAGGTTAGTCTCATTGAGTCACAGGACTCGTTTACAAAAGAGACCTGTTTTAGACAGACAACATATAAAGTACAAACAACAATAAACTACAGTAAAGTGCAATTAAAATAAAAGTATTATAAAACAATAAATCAAGGTGCCATATAAAACATGGTAAAATACTAAAAAAACAAGAACGTAAAAGATAAAAAGCATATTTAATGTTTATAAATAAGTAAATGTTTAGTATTTTTATATTAAGTTGATCACTTGGACTTGGTCATTTTAAAAGTAACTCGCATGCTGAAAAAGTGTGGGCACCCCTGCTATAAGCCAATAAAAATCTTTAATTTCGATGCTAAATGTTGAATACAATGGGATTTTTGTATCTTGTTTAGTGCAATTATTTGCTAGCTAATAAAAACACACCGGGACAACTACAATTGGCTCCATTTGCAGATACTTTATAAAAACGTGGGAGAAATTTTAGCCTTGCCCTCATGATGGCGAGGATAAAATGGGCGAACAGTAAACGTAAAAAAAAAAGCAAACAGTTGTATGAAACACACTCAATGTACATCTAGTCATTTAAAACATTTTCTTTTAAAAGCAAACATTTGTTACCAAAACATGTCCTAAAATATGTTCAGTACAACATAAATACTGCATTCTACCAACCTTCGCTTTCTTCTGCAGGGCAATACATTCATCATATGACGTCACGTGTTCTGCAGCCAGTTCTGAAAGTCTGTTGTCAAACTCTGAAACTCGCTGCTGTACCTCTTCACGACTCTGCTTTCTTATTTCACACCTGTAAGGTCACATGATATTAATAATATGTAAACGCAGTACTACAACCAAGACATTTGTGGATATTTCTAGCGGTTAAAAAAAACAGTACCTCTGTAAACGCTGTAGTCTGAGATGAGCCTGAGCCTTCAGTACAGCTCGTCTAACCAGCAACGGGCTGAGGATGCTGGAATGGAGAAGTTCAGTCTCTGGTTGAGAGATGCAGCTCTGCTGGGGCAGACGCTCCACCAGGTGACAAACGTGAGCTTGAAATTCTTCATCAAGAGTTTTTAAAGCTTGCCGAGTCCGCTTTTGTTCTTCGGCGCAATCCAAAAACTCTCCAGGAGACAAAAGGAAGGTTGCTTCTGCGTTAAGAAGAAAGGTTACCGCTTCCTGAGCTGCCCGTTGATAATCCTTTAAAGACTCTCTGGCCTCAGACAGGCCGACCTGTTGGATACATGTTTATCAAAATCAACATTCAAAAGGATCTGTGGAAAACAGTTAAAACTAGAGAAACTGCATTTTCTGCAAACATGCAGTGGGTGCTAAATGACTGCTGAAAGTTGCTACAGAAGCTAAAAGTGAGTTAGCACCAAAACAAGCAAAACACTAATAGCTACAGTAGCAAAATGCAAGCTAAATGTAGCTAAAAGCTAGCTAAACGCTGCAGAAGGCTATTAAAAAGATAAGGTCAGCAAATGGCTACCAAAGCAGCAAAAGGCTAACAAAAGTAACAAAAGTTACTAAAGTATAAAATGACTAGGAAAAACTTAGGAGAAAAAAAGTAAGGCTAAAAGTAGCAAAAAGCTAGCCAACTATAGCAAAACCCTTGCCAGAAATGAGAAGTACAAAATAGCTACCTAAAAGCTAAATGTAGCAAAAGGCAAGCTAAAAATCAAAAGAAGTAGAAAGCTACCGAAAAGTAGCAAAATACTATAATAGCAAAAGGCTAGCAAAATCTAAATATAGCAAAAGGTTAAATTGAAACTAAAAGGAGCAGAAAATTTCCTAAAAGTTGCAAAAGGTTAGCTAAAAGCAAAAAGTAACAGAAGGCTAGCTAAAAGTAGCAAAAGGCTAACTAAAAGCTAAGGGCAGCAAAAGGCTGCCAAAAGTAGCCAAAACTTTACTAAAAGTACAAAATAACTAGAAAAAATTTAAAGAAGAAAAAAAGGAGACTAAAAGTAACAAAAAAATAGCCAATAATAACAAAAACCTAGCTAGAAATGAAAAGTATCAAATGACTAGCTAAAAGCTAAATGTAGCAAAAGGTGAGTTAAAAGCCAAAAGCAGAAAGCTACCTAAAAAAGCTAAAGGCTAGCTAATAACAGCAAAATGCTAGCAAAAAGCAAAATGTAGCAAAAGTTTTTTTTAATTATTAAACGTATACAAACATCAAACAAGGTACCATAATATATACATTGTGTTCACACTACGTCTTTACTAGCAAACAAATCTAACCAAATAAGAATACAAAATAAAACCGTACAAACAAAACCCCAAAATTAATAATAAAACAAAAACAAACAAACAAAAAACCTAAAGGGGCATATTGTATTTACAACATAAAAGTCCAGGGTATACGTTACACGTGAAATGTTTTCAAAAAAGACGTCAACTTGGAAGCATTTTTTGACTTCACCAAACACAAAGACTTATAAAACAAATGTAACTCATTCTTCCACTGTATAACGTTAGGGATGGTTATGTAGCAAAAGGTTAGTTTAAAACTAAAAGCAGAAAGCTACTTAAAAGTAGCAAAAGTTTAGCTGAAAGCTAAAAGCAACCAAAGGCTAGCTAAATGTAACAAAAGGCCAACAAAAGTAGCAAAATGCTATCTATAAGTCAGAGTAGCAAAAAACTAAAAAGCTAAAATTAGCAAAATGCTAGCCAATAACAGCAAAGGGCTAGCTAGAAGTTGAAAGTAGCAAAAAGTTGGCTAAACGCTAAAGGTAGCAGAAACTACAAGTAGAAATAAAGACTAATAAGGAGCCAGTATGCTGAAGCAGATTTCAAAGAGAATGTTCTTGAAGGAAGATATTTTAAAAAAATGTATTTCAATCAACAAAATATTGGTAATTGAAGTGAATTATGTTGAAAAGTCTAAAATGCTGAATCAGCATTTCCACATTAATAGGAGCTTACCATCAGTGAGTTGCATTCTTGCATGGCTGCATCTCTGAGAGAATACAGGCCCTTGAAGTTCCCCATGTCGACATTTTCTCTCTCTGCCAGACCTTCCAGCACTCGCATCCCAGACTCTACATTTCTGAAAATAACCCAGTAGTTTTGCAGCTCAACATCTATGGCTCTCTCATCAGGACTGACTGGTTTCGCTCCCTCCAGTCCCAGTCTTGTTTTGTGTAACAGATCGGTTAAAGCAGGAAGCTCAGAGTCACACTGCAGATACGGCAGAAACTTAGCCTCCAGGTCTTGGAGCTCGTCGGAGACGGAACGCTCCCAGGAGGTCAAAGTTTTCAGCGTGCGGCGAATCTTTTCCTCTTCTGAATGCAGCTCAGACGCGTGTAGCTCCGGAGCTATGGTCTCCAGTTGATCTGCTGCTGCTTCGCATTGTGTCTCGACCAAAGGAAGTTCAACTAGGAGTGCGTGGCACAATCTCAACCGCTCATTTAGATTTACTGCTTGGTTGTTAACATCCTGGATTTGGCTTTTGGCGACATCCATAGATCCCTCCAGTTGTTCTCTCAGGCACAAGTATTTGTCTTGTTCAAACATATTTACACAGAGAACTTTGCACTTCTCTTGCAGGTCACTAATTGCAAAAAGCATAGAGTTGCGCTTGTCCTGCTGGCAGTGCTGAAGCTCTTGGACTTGGCACTGATGCTCCATTAATTTGTGCTTCAAGTTCGCCATTATAGACCATGTCTCTTGTGTCAAAGGGAACTTCTGTTGCTCCAAATCAGCAGCAATTTCCTTTAAGTTATCCTGTATAGTAGACAACTCCTCATCTGAATATGTCCGCTGATGTATCAGCTCCTCTAATTCCATAATGGTTGCTTTCTCATGAGCTAGAAGTCCATCTAACTCCGTCCATAGCCCTGAAAGCCTTGTGGAAAGGAAGCGGCCCTCTCCTGGACTTAACTGCATGCAGATTTTTGTGCAACTTTCGGACAAAGTGTCCAGCAGTTGTAGTTGCTTCTCCAGCTCCACTGTGGCTAATCTGTGAGTTTCCAGCTCACGCTCAAGGTTACCGATGCACGTTTTTGAAATGCTCTCAGTACGTGTGCAGGGGTCTCTGTTAGCATGTAATTCTGCTACCCAGGAGTCTAAGCTAGCAAGCTCACTTAAAAGTTCCTCCCTTTCACTAAGACTTGTCTTCATGGAGTCAAGAACTTGATCCAAGCCGTCGGCAACGGTTTCATACAAGTCTTCTGCCGTCTTCAATACTTCACCGTCTTCATTTTCCTCGCCTTTCATCTCTTCAACTTGTAGTCTCATCTCTCTCCGCCTAGACAAAATATCGGTCTGAAACTTCCTCATTTCGGCAATCTGAACGCGAGCCTCGTCAGGAAAAAGAGCCAACTTTTGCCCAGTAGAAATGTGGGTTTCCGCCTGCTTCGCCCATACGATTAGGTCGCGTAGCTGTTTGTTGATCTTAATTAAAGAATTGCTCCCACAGCCTTGTGTCCAGGCATCAAGTTTCTCCTTACAGACGTTGAACAACGATCCTAATTCCTGCAGATAATGTTCAAGCTCATCCTTTTCTTTCTGACCCAAAGAGAAATTGACGAGGGCATGTGACCGGGACTGTAAGCTTAAGTAGAGCTGGTTGTACAGTTTTAGATCTGTGGTCAGACAGACTAACTCTAAAGAACTTAGGCCGTCAGTTTCAAGTTCCAGAAAATCTTCTAGTTTGTCGTGAAGCTGCTTCGCCTCTTCTAAAACGAGCGAATATTGAGATTTAGAGCATGACGCCTGCTGAAAGGCTCTTCTGATACGTCCTTTCAGAAGCCTCCACTGTTCCTGGAGATCCCCGAGCTGAGCATGGAGAGCGCCTGAACCTTCAGCATCACTCAGGTGGACGGACAGTTTGCTGCCTAAGTTGAGCAAATGCTCCATCGTTGACTTCTTCTGCTCTATGGTCTGAAGCAGAGCGTGAAGCTTTGCAGCTTGAAGGCCACTGCCTCTCAAAGAGTTTCTGAAAAACACAATATATTACCACATGTCAAGGAAAAAGCACTAATCAAGTAATGATTTTAAACATAAAAAAACTAATAATATACACTCACAAGCTTGTTTTTTCCATCTCTTCTGTCAAAACTTCAAGAAAAGCTTTGGTGATCCTCATCTGGTGGTGATACTGGTTGACCTGATCCAGCTGTGCTGATTTGACCTGCACGGTGGCGACAGCGTCCAGCAGAGCGCCGCTCCACTGTCTCTCAGCGCGTTTTGGATCAGTTGACTCCGAAGCTATTGTGCTGGTTTTCATGGCAGCCACTAACTCCTGAACAGAACGCTCACACTCCTGTGGCAGACAGATCGAAACACTTTGAAAATCATCGTTTTAGTTTAGTTTATACTGAATCTTAAGGACATTTGTAAACATTTATTAAAACACTGTGATGAATGTTAATATTTTAGGCAGCGTAGGACTTTAATGTTATGTTTTAAAGGTCAATAATTGGGTACACAAGTCCAATTTCATTAAACAGGCTCAAAAATATACAGAAAATTCAAATATACATACATTTTTCTAAATCTTTTAATAAACGGAGCTGAAGGTTTTTACTTTGACCTAACTTGATGAGACCAAAGCCTATTAACGTCTCGTTAATCATCATGAGTGGCTGTAGCTGGTAGTTTGTCTTTACCTACATAGATGAGGATTTGATTGACAGCATTCATTGTACTGACCACTACTCATGTCATTGTTAGATAAAAAGAAATTAGTTACAGTATTCTGCAACTCTCAGGGGATTTTTTTGGTCAAGGTGTATGGATGTTTTATAACTACTAATGGTAACTTTTGATTTGCCAGAGAGTTATTTTCTATCGGGAGAGGAGCTTATTTGATCCTGCATGTACAGCTGGGAGGCCGAGGTCATCGGTCCTGTGAGAGCTGAGAAGCATATACAGTAGTCCCTTGTTTATCGCGGGGGTTTCTGTTCTCAGTCCTCCACGAATTAGGAACAGTAGTACAAGCAGTAAGTAGTAGTTTAATTTATTATTTATATTAAGGTGTTTAAAACTCTTCTAAACAAGGTTTCTAAACTCTAAACACTGAAAGAGCACAGCATGTCATGATCTCGCTGCCTCCTGCTGCTCTCAGCCACCTGCCAGCGCTCTGGGCCACGCCCACTTCTCCGCTGCAGAGCTGATATTGAAATGCTGCAGGAGGGAGCTTCTCCCTGCACATGTGAGCTGCACACAGGTGCAGCAGGTGCTAAATAATTTATTTTAAATTTAAAAATCCAGCCGATCTTGCAGTTCATCCATTAATCAGCCAATTGTGTGTCATGTCCAACCTTACTTTGAAAAACGCGAAAGAGCGAGCCCGCAAAAGTCGAACGGCGAAGTAGCGAGGGGCTACCGTTTATAAAAACAAACCTCGCACACGAACAGATTCTCGTGACTGGGCTCCATGATGTAGAACTTTTATGCATCTGTATAAGCCTGTGAGTGTCTGCCCTTGCAAGTAAAACTAGTTAAAATGTATTCTCATGTCCTCGAGTGCAGCTTCTTTGAGTATTATTCAACAGTAACAGCCCACGAACCACCGTGGCTCAAGCCCGACATGCACTGGAAGCTGCTGGAACACCAGCGTCATCGTCCCACTATGAGGGAATTATCACCACAGACTGAAAGGGTGCAGGCCAAGAAGAACCTCCTGCTTCAAAAGTGACACCTTCAGGATCGATGGACGAGCAAAAAGTTTTTATTTGTACAAAAATGACAAGTGAATGCACGGTTGTGGTTGCATCATGATGAGGTGCTGTGCACTGAGCAAGGTGGATTGAATAATAATGGAGGTCTTCCCCCAAATTCTTCAACTTCACCTCAACACAACAGCTGAACGGTTGAAGCATTGCTCCAACTGGATCCCAAACACATCAGAACTGGTTTCTGATTATATAAAGCAGGCTAGCATTAAGTTGATGGAGTGGTTCTCAGTACTTTTGTTCAACTGTGGCCCACGCTTTCAAACTAAAGCCGGTGTGTGCCAGAAATCCAGCCAATTTAAACGATTTTTACAAACTCGTGTGACGTTGAAGGGTCAAATATTCAGCAAGAACAAAGCTGAAAAAGGCTGTGGTCAAAGTGCAATTTGCTAAAGGACATTAAACCAAACATTAGTGGGTGTGTATGTATATATTTGAGCCCGTTGGCAAAATGTTGACCTTGTGCGGATTAGAGAAAATTAACAACACAAACCTCTGATCCAATTTTTGTTTAATATAAAAAAGTCAGTTAAGTGGTGTGTTGCATAATCATTCCAACAAATTGTTACACGGTAGATTGACGATAATTAAACTGAAGATGACATTGTTTCAAAAAGTTGTTTAAAATGTTTATTTAAACAATCCTGCCACCGACCTGCTGCCAATTAAAAAGGTTGTGAGACAGTTTATCTTTCAGTCACTATAAAACCTTTACAACCTTTAATTATCTTCGCTCAAACTATTTCTGAAATGTCTTCCTGGAGGCGAACTGAAAATACCAGCTTGTTTTTCGTTGCACGTTTCTTAATTTCAATGTGCAATATGCTTTTTTAGACAAATATGTAAATACCGATGGGTAATATTAGCATCTGGTTTTCATGTACATTTAGACAACATTCTTTAAGTACGTACCCGTGCCTCCTTCAGCTGGTTAGCCATAGCTGTGACACAGAGTTGCGCCGGTTCATATCGACATGCCAAAACTCGTTGCACTGTTTGTGCTAAACGAACGTCTGCTTCACCACGAGATGATGTCAGGTACCAGTTTAAATCAGGGTGGGGTGTTCGCTTTAAAGACAAAAGAAGAAACGAAGTGAGGAAAAACAGGATTCAGGAGTAAATTTGTTTTTGATGGATTTGAACTCAAGCGCAGGTTTATTACAAGCACTGTACTGCAGCAAGGTCAAGGGGTTGTAAATAATTAAGACTGAAAATGAAATGGCGTCAACACTGACTGTATTAGGTACGCTATATATATATATATATATATATATATATATATATATATATATATATATATA